AGAATATACAACCACATATGAAAACCCCACTCACTCACTCATCATCTCTTATGAGGCTATATGTATACACTCGGAAATTATATATACTCACTTCTCTTCTCACAACACACCCTTAAACCCCTTACATCTTTTCTCTCTTCTTTCTCTCTCTAAACCCCTCACACCTATCTATATTTATAGAGTCTTCAAACCCAATTCCTTGTTAGACAAGTATTCCCCAACTTGTCTACATGGAGTTACCATAATGATCACAACTCTAAAATAGAAATATAATGGGATACAATTTCCTTCACAAATTTTAGCCTTCCAAAACAAAAAAGGAAACTAATTTTCTGCAAATAAATTTTGAGCCACAAAACCAACAATCTCCACCTTAGCTCAAAATTCAATCTTCACATGCTTCTCCATAGTTCTACCTCGAATAAGGATCTCTTCATAGCTCTAGCTCAATTAAAGATTTATCCACCTCTAACAAAAGCATTATGATGAACTTAAAAAACATTCTAACAATCTCCACCTTTTCTTAAATTCATCATTCTTCATTTTTTCTTCTATCTTCTCTATCCACCCTATTGGTGTTCAATTACTTACGGATGGTAACCCACCAATCTTCAACTCATCTTCATCAATTGCTTTTTTGGCTCAAAGCAACAAACCTCTCATCTTCACTCTTCATATTCCCCTTTGCTCTTTATTTGGCTTAGAGCAAACCCCTTCATTCTTCATACCCTTTGCCCCTTCTTGAGAACTCACACCACTCTTGGCTTGTCCCCAAAACTTATTCCTCGTGGGCTTCAACTCTATCACCTTTGCCCTATCTTGAAAATGAGCATCATTCGACTTATCCCAAGACTTGTTCCTCATGGGCTTCACACCAACACCTTCTTTATACCTTCATGTCATTATCAACTCTGATTGAATCTCCATAGTACCTCATGATCATCTTTTGCTTTGACAAACTTCACACTAATTTTATGTTCTGATTTTTAGGACCAATTACAGGCTCTGACCTACCATCGGCTTTAATACCAATTGTTGGCGATAAATAACTCCTTCTAACCCACTCAACGGTCGGCTGTTGTTGAGAGTTAAATCCCTCATTCATCACACAGAGCGAAAACATCATCACATCACATCAACACAAGCATATATGGATATAATAATCACACACATCCACATACAACACAATATTTTACATGGCTCACCCAACTCTAGGGTTATGTCGATGGGAGAGAGAGATTTCACTGTTATGAATCAAGGAAGAAAATATATAACCACATGTCAAAACCCCACTCACTCACCCATCAACTCTTATGAGGCTACATGTATACACTCGGGAATTATATATACTCACTCCTCTCCTAACAACACTCACCCTTAAACCCTTTACATCTTTTCTCTTCTCTCTCTCTCTCTAAACCCGTTACACCCATCTCTATTTATATAGTCTTCAAACCCAATTCCTTATTGGACAAGTATTTCCCAACTTGCCTATAAGGGGTTACCATAATGATCACAACTCTAAAATAGAAACATAATGTGATATAATTTCCTCCACAAATTTTAGCCTTCTAAAGTGAAAAAGGGAAACTAATTTTTTGCACACAAATTTTGAGCCACAAACCCAACAAGTTTGTCGTCTATTTATTTAAGTTGTATTTTTCTCATTTTTAGATGTTTTCAAGGTATATCTATTATGACTAATATTATAAATAAAATTATATTACAATTGCTTTTGTTAGCATGAGTTATATTTCCTAATGTATTTATGTAAATTCTCCTAAATTGATTTGGTAATTAATTAGGATAGTAGAATATATTTTACTATATTGTGTAATATATTCTAACCATGTATATGTTTACCATATAGGGTTTAAGTTTCTTGCTTTCCACACATCTCATCACCTATATAAACTCCTATGTATCTCACATCTGATATATTAATACAATATACAATTGCTCTCTTTCTATTTCTAACATGGTATCTGAGCAACTCTAAGAATTTTTTTTTTCTTCTCTTCTTCGAAGTAAGAGTGATGTAGGTACAACATTTCAGGAATTTCATAATATAGTGACAACTCAATACCAAAGGCAGATTCGCACACTTCAATCTGACAATGATAAAGAGTTTGTGGATAAGATTTTAGGTATTTTCTTAGGCCACCATGGAATCTGACATCAAACCTCCTGCACCTATACTTCACAACAAAATGGACTAGCATAGCAAAAGAATAGACAGATTATGGAAATAGTTTGGGCCTCCCTCTTTGGCATGAATATGCCAAAGTTCTATTAGGGTGAGGCAGTGAAATCGATTATCTATTTAATCAACTGAACACCATCAAGTGTGATAAAGTTCCAAACTCCTTAGCAAAAGATGCAATCATTGCTTTTTGTTCCTCAATCTCCCGAATCTTAAACCACGAGTATTTGGATGTGCGGTCTATATTCATGTGCCTAAAGTCTTGAGGAGTAAACTTGATCCATGTGCGAAACGGTGTGTCTGTGTAGGTTACACAGAGTTTCAAAAGAGATATCGGTTTTATGATCCTCAAAATCAAAAGTTACATGTGACCTTGGATGCTTCGTTTCGTGAATTGGAACTGTATTATTCAGGGGGAGTTTCCGGGTCTTCTTTTCAGGGGGAGAGTCACAGTGAAGAGAATAAAGATAGTGGAAATGAATTATTCAAATTGGAAGAAAATAGGGATGTTTTGAGGTTTTTGAAGAAACAGGCCTGACCACCGCGGCGCCTATTAGTCAAGGGCGTGGCACTGACCAGGAATTATACACAGATCTATGTTTTTCCAACAATGACCCCACTTCATTTCCAGAGTTGCCCACGTCTACACCATTACCCGAAGGATCAACCAAGAATGTTCTTCCTTAGGTAACCTCGAATCACATTCTTGATGAACCTAATGAATTTCATGTCCATGCAGAAGATGTAACCAATAAATATCCACAAAAATCAAATAGGGGAGTACCGAAGAAACAATATGAACCCGATCCCAAAGCCAAGACTAAGTACCTGTAATACCTCTAGTTTTCAAAAGGATAAAATAGGAATTTAATTTTAAATTTTGATTTTGATTTCATTTTTATTTAATTATATGACTTATTTGTTTAAATTAATTGTTTTCCTTGGTGAATTTGTTTGGTTTGCCTAATTGTTCAATCTAATTGCGTGTTTAAATTAATATTGTCTAATTGTGTATGTATTTTATTATTTATTTGACTTGAAATTGTTTATGTATTTTGAGTGTTTTATTTAGTTAAAATTATTTATTTGTTTTCCTTAATTTGTTTGAGTGTAATTAATTAATTAGTTAGTTACTTGTAATACAGATATAGTTGGGATGAATGTAATTGTTTTGTCACTTATGTATAATACAGTGGTTGCGTATATTTAAATTTAGGGTTTTAAATTATGTAAATAGGGTAGCCGACGTATTAATGGGCTGGGATTAGGATTAGGGTTTAGAAGAAACCTATATATAAATAAGACAGTATGGTTTGCTAGGTTGCAAACCCTATTCACGACATAGTATCTTGAGAGGAAAAACAGAGGAAAACTAGAGAAGAGAGAAATAGAGAGATTTGAGGGGAAAAACGTAGAGCTTTCAGCTATAGACTGAAGGTGTGCCACAGAGGAAGGAAGAGGTTAATGGTTCAGTTCATATTTGATATATCAATACAATATATGCACTACTAGATAATATGCATTATCTATTTATATGCACTAGACTAGAGAGACCTACAATCTTAAAGAAGAGGAATTTAATTCTATGATTTTTTATTCTTATTTTATATTAGGGGTAAAGTGCATTAAACCCCCTTGAACTATTGGTCATTTAGAAGAAACCCTCATGAACTACAAAAAACCCTCCTGAACTACAAAAAACCCCCCTGAACTAAGATTTTGTTACAATTTACCTCCTTGAACTATTGGTCAATTGCAAGAAACCCCCCTGAACTTTGATTTTGTTGCAATTTACCCCCTTGAACTGTGATTTTGTTGCAATTTACTCCCATGAAATAAGCTTTCGGCACCGAAAATTTAGAAAGACCAATTTACCCTTATAACACACTGCGTTGTTTTAACTTATACACTTCTTACATTTTTTTTTTTTTTCTGCCAAAAGATGTTTTTCACCCAACACAACCCAAAATAGAGAGCTAGAGAGAGAAAGAGAGAGAGACCAAAGAAATCCGAGGTCGGCGGGATGGCTCGGTCTTGGATGATGGGGGCTTGTGCACAGAGGACTCGGTTGTGATGAGAGCTCGGTTGACTAGGCCGTGAATTGTGGAGGCGGCGGCGAGCTCAAGGGGGCTCGGCGGTGAACTGTTGATGACTGTGTGCTCGAAACACGGACGGCGGTGCACTCGGCTATGGAGATGGCGGAATGGGCCGACGAGCTTGGAATTGACGTTGGAATGGACTGGCGAGCAAGGTGAGCTGAACGCGCGGGCAAGGCGGTGACGACGATGGGCTGACGCAACGGTGCAGAGAAGTACGATATATATGAACGGATCTGGCGGGTGGTGCAATGGCTATAATGGAGCTGTGACAGGAGACCCACCGATCCCATTAACAGATTTCTTGGCTTATCCAAACACTCCTCAGACGACATCTACCACTCCGATCCTAGCCACAAATTCCTTAGCTTCATCGTCTCTTTCAGTTAATCAATTCGCGCAGATGGGGTAAACTGCAAAAAAATATATTGTTCAGGGGGGTTTGTTGAACATACCCTAATAGTTCAAGGGAGTTTTTTGTAATTTTTATAATTCAGGGAGTTTCTTGCACATAACCTAATAGTTCAGGGAGATTTTTTGTAATTTTTATAGTTTAGAGGAATTTCTTGCACATACCTTAATAATTTAGGAGGGTTTAATGCACTCTACCCTTTATATTATCTAGAGTGTTCGAGATTTTACCTGACTAATTCAAACGCTTATCGAGTACAATTCGTCCTGAACTTGGAGGCTGGTCTTACCAACCTTCTCGGCTACGCCCTGGGACCATAATTCATGATGTTTGCTCATATTTTAGTAATAAACTCCAACAAAGTGATTGGTTCAGTTCACCGATCTTTGATGGTCCCAAAAACACCTAATTTTTTCTAACGGATATGTAACAATGTAAAACAAGACAAAACTTTGTCGAGAGAAGACTCCAACTGCTGAAAAGAGCACTCCTCGCTAGTACTAGCACCAGTACACACACTCACAGAAAGTGTAGAGAGAGAAAATCAAGACTGATAAGGTCAGCAGTTCCCGGCTTTCACTTTTGCTCACTCTCATATATATATATATATATATATAGATTATCAATCCATCTCAGAAAACTGTTTGTGAAATCTTACATCAAGGTTGCGGGAGCTCTCCGAAATGCACCAACTCTGTTTCGAATTCGATGCGAAATTCGTCCAGGTGAGTCGGAATCTACCCTACATGTATACTTATATGTAAATCAATGTTTGCATTTTATAATATTTGAAATTGATTTTTTATTTATTTGAGAATCGCTCTGCAAAAGGGAATCGATGTAGATTAACGGTTTTCTAGTCGAATTTTGTGTTGATTTGTAGTATTTCACCCTAGATTTGATCAGGATGTACATACATATATATACACACACGCGCACACTGAATTTTGAGCATTAATTTGATTCTTATTCAGGATTTTGTTGTAATATTTACTCTCTTTCAACATTCTCTCTCTATTTATTTGTGTGTGTTGATGGATTTGGATCCTCAGCTGTGAGTACTTTCCAGTGCACAGCAGAGGGCTGGGATTAAACCAGCAATAGTGGGTTCCACTGTTTGGTGAATCGCAGCCCTGCACTGTGTACCGGCAAGGAAGCACCGGTTTGTTAGAAATTTAGTATACAAAGACCAGGAATCTTACAATTAGCATATGTTTGGTTGCTGAGAATCTAACAGAAAAAGAAAAACATCTACTAAAACCCAAAAATAACCAAGTAAAAAATGGGTCTAAGTATTGTTGACCGGTTTTGAGAGGACACGTAGATTTAAGATATGGACTGGAGAAGTTGACAGTAGTTAATCAATAATAGAAAAGAAGAAAGTAGTCTTTCCCTGTTTTTCCTTTTATCTTTCGAACCACGGGTTGCCATTTTAGTTGTTATTACTTCGTTTTAAACCTACTTGTAATTATCAGTCCAACTTCAAGAGTAAAGGACTGTTAATTTGCAATAATTAGTTTAAGTTACATTAATTTCATGCCATCTTTATGTACATGTCTTATTACTTTATACATAACTTGGTAAAATTCGAAGTTCTCAATGATTTGCAATCTTCACGGGAGAGAGAGGTTATCCCTGCTTTCAACATTCACCCATATGTTATCAAATTGATTTGAGTCACTTAGACGTTTCACAAAACGAATGCCTGACTCCAAGTGGACTTTGACATGCACACTCATAGAATAGTCAAATAATTTCTACACTTATTGCTGGACAATTGAGTGATTAACCCTTTTAAATGAATTATGGTCATCTCTATTTGAAGTGGCAGCAATACGACATTGTAATGAACTGATGACAAGAAGAATAATTAACAAACTTGAAGATGAAATTGATCATCTCAATAAAGAGAAGCATACGGTGAATTACTTCAGCTTATAACTCCATGTTGCACAACAATTTATTGAATTGTGTAATGTGAAAAATTTGGCAATTTGATTATGCAATATGATGAATTGGAGATAAAATACATTGACTTGATGTTGAAAATTACCACTTCAATGGCGAAATGTACAGTCTAAGAAGGTATGGGTTTGACACAATACAGACAAACCATATGAAAATTTTCAAAAAAAGACAAGGACATGACATGAATATATAATAATAACAATAACAATAAATGATTTTTACTAAAATTATCAACATTTTTATGAATGTAATCACAAATGATTTTTACTAAAATTATCAACATTATCATGAATGTAATCACAAATTTATAGCTTAAAGTTAGTTGGATTTTTTTCTTCTTCTAAACTTCATATATATATATATATATTTTAATTAACCCAAAATATGTTTTAGAATAACATCAGAACCCTTTTTTTGAAAAAATAATTGCAAAACTACCATGCCATGTCCTGGAAGTGTCCATGATGTGTCCCAAGCACGCCCATTCCATGTCAACTAGGGAAGAAGATTTATAAATTATTGGACATTTCTAATCGTATCCGACACATGTTTGGTTGTGTTCTAAGCGTGCCCTGTTGGACACATGTCTGACATGGCCACGACACCCCTAGAGGAGTATTATATCAAATTGATTGCCACACCAAAAAGATTCGTCAACTTGGGGGTTAACTTGACCAAAATCTGGATGTGGAATTAAGTCACAATGATATAAGTGAGGAATCTGGGTGAAAAAGACCCCTGATAGTGATGTTGTTAATACACTTGGGGAACAAGACAAAAGTCGACCTAATAATTATGTGTTACTGGAGAAGCATGTCGTTTCCACGCATGGCTGAAGATTCTGTATAACTGAGTTTAAGCATACAGTTTAAGTTTTTGGTGTTGTGACATTTACTGAAGAATATAATGAATTGCAAAACCGATGGCTTATGTGGCTGTCAAGTCCCACATCCTTATTGGATTTCTAGAGCTCATCAAAAATGGTTTTGCCAGGTAACTTATGAAACGGACAGCGATTATTGATGAGGACAATATATATTGTTTTATTGTAGGTGTATTCTGATAGAAAACAAAAGGGCTATGCCTGTTTCTATAAGAAAAATGGCCGGAGAGAAGGGTCAGATATTTTGTACCTAATATTATCCATGAAGGCGGTCCTAAGCCCTGAATGAGGGTTGTGTTAGGTAGCCCGACTACCAGCATAAAACACTTTTGTTTGGGCCTTATATAATGAATTATAATAATCAAAAAATAGGATTCATGTAGCCGACTATAACTGATTTTATTATTGTGCATATACATTGATTTTCCAGTCTAACAACATTTTTTTTCTTTACCTTGATTATACATTGTCTTTCATGCAAAAATGCATGTGCACAATGGTGGTGAAACGTGACATAATCGTTGTTAATGGTTAGAATTAATAAGCTTTAATGCTATAGCAACTTAAATTTTAATGTACCAGCTGTTACTCATTAAATGATCTTTAAAATTCATTAAAATTTATTGAAAATCCAAATTTATGGGATTACGGGACTAAAGCATGCCCACATGTACATTTTAGTTGGACTTGGGTGAGGTTGAAACATATTCACAAGTTTAATGATCATTACATTACGTAAGTTGTTAAACCACCTGTTCGTTACACCACCACTATTACCATTTTGATGGCTTGGACACAATAAAATCATAAATTTTTATTGAAAATTTTTGATAGATGTGGATGTATTGTATCCATTGAGCAAATATATGTTGGATCAAGATTTGTTTTCCGGAGTACCAAAATTCGGTCAGACCTATGGTAATTCAGGCATGTTAAAAGATCATGCATTTGAAGTGGGGAAACCAATTGGACAAAATTAATCAACTGGTCAACCAAGTGGTTTGTAAGCTCGATGTGGAGAAGGCATACGACCATCTGAGTTGGAGCTTCCTGTTGTATGTTCTAGAGAGGATAGGTTTTGGTGAGAGGTGGAGGATGGATTTATTTTTGCATTTCCACAATGTGATTCTCAGTATTGGTGAACAGGGTTCTGACCAGGTTTTTTTGGTAGCTCGCAGGGGTTGAGGCAGGGGGACCCCTTGTCGCCTTTCCTATTTATTTCGCAAGGGGCAGTTGTGTAATTGTCTTATTCCTTTTAACAGCTTGGTGACAACAAGGTTCTATTTGCAATCTTCTATAGTCTAAGAAGCATGGATACGAACACAGGATGGGAGTATGACACAATACGCACACGGCAACAATCTCAAATTAGGATAATAATACTATATATTATTATATATAAAAAATAATAATTTTTGCTTATTTTATCTAAAATATGAGATAGTTTTGGCTTATTTTATCTAAATTATCATGAATGCAATCACTAATTAACAGCTTAAAGCTGCATAGATATTGTTTTTGTTTTCTTAAACTTTATATTATTTTTCTAATTAACCCATAATGTTAAAAAATTACATGAAACCCCTTTTAATTATAAAAGTAGTTACAAAAATTTCCCCCAATGTCCTGAAAGTGTCCTAGACGTGTCTCCGTTGTGTCCAACTATGAAAAGAAAATATTCAAATTATAGGACACTTCTAGCCATGCCGGACACGTGCCCTGCCGTGTCCCACGTGTTCGTGTCCAACAAGGCCACGACACTCCTATTGGATTGTCCGTGCTTCCTAGCTTATGGTTTAGGGGTTTTTTTTGTAGTATTGTGGGGAGGAGGGATGTTAATTGCGAAGGCATGATAATTCTAGACTTTTTTGCACTTTGCCCCATTCCAAAAATGAAACTTGGAAATATTAACTAACTAGAACATGCTAGGTTCATTTAAGACTCCATATAGGAAACTCAATAAAATTACTTGATCCATGATAAGGCCTTTGGATCGCTACTACCCGATGTCCAGCAGATTTTGAAATTACCAAAACACCATCACTAAATTTAAATTAAGAAAATATCAAAAAGTTGTTACGAGCATATACTTATTTAAAATAATTCATTTTGACCCAAAACATGCCTAAATAATGATAGAGATGCATCCCATATGAGATCCCTGATTTGCTATTTTCTTGTTTGCATGCTTTGCATTGAAATCATTTTTCTGTCTTTTGACTTTAAAATGTTTTGTTGTGTCAGGAAGACAGGTGCTTGGAGATGGAAAACCAAACCACAATGATCTATTTGGAGAGTAGCAAATATTAGCTTCTGTAATACTCATTAGGCATACTTATGGCATCTGCCAGCATAGGACATGGGAGAGTAGGCAGTTCTAGGGCCGTTCATGGCTACAAGGGGTCATCTAGTTCAATTGACTGGCTGGGAAGAGAGATGCTTGATATGAGATTGAGGGACAAGGTTGATCACGACGATGACAGAGTGAGCTTCTTGATTTTATTAGTTATTTATCTATTCATTTGTTCATGCTTGGTGATTTGTACTTTATGTATTTATAATTCAGTTGTTCAATGATCCTATGGATGAGTCTTACTCCTTAAAATATACTGTGTACTAAGCACCCGTGTGAATTGGGTCTACCCTGAAATAACTATTGCAGGATAGTGAACCAGATATAATTGACGGTGTGGGTGCTGAAGCAGGACATGTAATAAAAACGACTATTGGCGGTCGGGATGGTCAATCTAAGCAGGTCTGCAGAATCTTAATTCTTTTCACTTGGTGATGTGACCTTGATTTTTATGGTGAATGTCTTGCATCATCCACAACATATGAATTGTTTGGTTAACAGGTCATCAGTTACATAGCAGAACATGTGGTTGGGACTGGTTCCTTTGGTGTAGTTTTCCAAGTTAGTTGAGCTCTAACATTTGATACATGGAATTTTTGTTACTTTTGCCATTGTATGACATTGTTGGGATGATTTGAACTTACATGGTGCAGGCAAAATGCAGAGAGACTGGGGAAATTGTTGCTATCAAGAAGGTTCTCCAAGACAAGCGCTACAAGAATAGGGAGTTACAGATTATGCAAATGTTGGACCATCCTAATATTGTCGCCCTTAAGCATTGGTTTTATTCAACAACTGACAAGGAAGAGCTATACCTCAATCTTGTACTTGACTTCGTTCCTGAAACTGTTAACCGTATTGCGAAGCGCTACAACAGGATCAATGAGCGAATTCCTTTAATATATGTCAAACTCTACACCTATCAGGTACATATATCATTCTTTTTATTTTATTTTATTTTTAGATAGATGCAGTTTGTTGTCTTTTGAATTTCAATTTTTTTTTTAACTGTTATCGATGGACCTCTATGGAACTTAAGATCATTTTAGACTGATTGAAAATTAGCAACCAGCTGGTTCACCTATGTTGTGTGTGCACAAATCACATCTGTGAGTGTGTCTGTGCTTGTGAACGCATGTCTCTCTCGATGAAGTTAATGCTTTGAATCAGTATGATCAAATTATCATCTGAATGAGCTCACAGGCCTTCATTTTTCTCTAAGACTATGCAATGAAAATGTCTATACAATTTTAAATACAGATGTTCCCTCCTTGTTTTGATGGTCCCCAAGTCCACTGTTTTCGCCAACCTGTTACCATAGGTTTCTTAGGTTATTTAAGCAATATCTTATTAATGAAATGATTCAACAGGTAAAAGAGCAGTAAATGAGGAAGGCTTTTCCAAATTAATTCCTATTTAGAGGATCTCCCTCTCTCTCTCTCTCTCTCTCACACGCGCGTGCCCACACAGCACACTCGGACACAATTTTAGAATGATGTCACCTTGTAATGTCTGATGGAAGTTGTTAGTTTCATAATCATGGTCAATCAAAATTTAATTTAGGAACAGTAGTGCAATTGAAATTGCATTACATATTCTGCCTACTTGTCTTATAATGGATTCATTTTCTTGCTGGACTTCTGTCTGATATAAATTTTAGTTTAACCTTTTTCTTGCTGGTATCAGATGTCAAGGAATTTTTGACTTATCAAAGAAAAAAAAAAAAAAAATTGATGTCATGGAATTTTTATTCCTTCAAAAGTTAATATATTCTCCATATTATGCTCTAGCCTCTAAGAAAGAAGTTTAGACATCTCTCTTTGTGCTGCATTTTCAAACTTCATTTTGTGTGCATGTGCTACCTGCCATTTTTCCAAAAAAATGTGCCTGTTCAGAAATATAAATAAATAAATAAAATGTGTGCATATGCATATTATGCATTTTTCAATGAATTTGAGATTTCGGATTAAACAAACTATTCTTCAACGGATGTAAGCTCATCTGTAACAGTTCTTCTGTGGAACCGAAATGTCAATAACAAATGTTCTTTGACATGTATAAGCTCCATATGGAGTTTACCTTTTTATTGGTTTCTCATCTTTCATGGATTCTAATTTTGGGTGCAGATATGCAGGGCTCTTGCTTATATTCATAATCATATTGGTATTTGTCACCGCGACATCAAGCCTCAGAATATACTTGTAAGATTCTTCTTCTTTAAAATTGAGAATTTTGTACTTGTGATGCTTTGTGCATCTCACAGTCTATGACTTTCAACTATTCATATTTTATCTGATTTTACCGGTTGCATTGTGAGGGGATCGAACTGGTACCCAAAGCTCTGATACGTTGGAGTAAGCTATGCCCAATTAGATTCAGAGGGGTAGTGAATAGGTCTCTTACACACTTCTATAGTTTTTACTTAATTTCAGGTTTGACCAATTTAAACCAATTAATTAATCATGCTATGCAAATCATCATCTAATCAAACAATCCAAACCACAAAGCGACAAAGCAAAGTAAATAAAAAACACAGATTTACGTGGAAAACTTCAATGGAAAAAACCACAGGACCTAGTGCAGGCAGATCAAATCCACTATGAGAAGATTACAACTAGTTTACCTATATCCCTAGTTTACAACTAGCATACCAATATCCCTTTGGAAACTGCTTGTTACTTCTTAACATAGACTGATGTAAACTCTCCACTCGAGTCTCTAGGTCATCTACTTCGTCGACAGATCCGCTCCTCTCGCGATTCGCTTCTCTAACCTGTGATTTGGTCTTCAATAACAAGTCCTCCAATGATGTTGTGGTTGATCAATTTTCAAGTATTCAATGAAGCTCCTTGCTTTTGCTTTCATTTACCCAACATTGTAGGGTATTTTATGAAGAACCTCAATTGAGATTGAAGAATAAAACCATGTATAAGTTATTCTCTTTTGTTTTTCTTATGTTTAGAGATCCCTAGAACATATTTTTATAGTGTTGGAGTGATTTGGAATGTTTTGGATGAGTTCTGGAAAGTTTGGAAACCTTTTTGGACTTGGAAAGGTGCATTTTATTGACTGTGCGTGTCCATTTGATAGATCAACACCTTCTAGGTTTGATTCAATCAATTGAGCTTTTGCTTGAGTTATTATGGAGTAATTTCGACCAAAGGTTCGATCAATCGAGCCGCTACTTTGTATGCTTTGTTGAGGGTTTAAGCGGACTCAAAATTAGTCATATAATATGACATTGGAAATCTTATCGAGTTTAGTTCATGAATATATAAATCTCATAACAAGATTCCAAGTATTGTATTTTTTTATGATTTTTTCAAGATACCAAGGTCAACTTGGAATCCTTTTTGAAAGCAACTTTTATTGTGGTTTTCAACATAATCTCAACGTCTAAGCTTTCTAACCAACATTAAAGTAATCAACTTCATTCCTAATTAAATAGTATTTAACTTTAAACTTTATAATTGTATTAAAACTAATTAATAATTAGTTTTAATTCAACTCCAAATTTATTCAAGTTTTCTAATTTACTAAGTCAATTTTTAACCAATCTTTCATGATCAATTAGGACTTTCTCGATCACTTTAATTATTTATTAGTCACTCTGAATCCTATGGTATCTTAGTTCACTTCTTTATATTTTGTAATTGATGAAGCTTGATGTAAGATGTCGATGCAGTTTTTCAGCTCCATCTTTTTAATTTACAATCACAGCTTCAGTGTCAATGCGAACCTTCCCTTCTACTGAAGTGACACAACAGATAGAACATGACACAATTTTTGCTCATGGAATATCCCAACGCATGACCCTTTTTTCACACAATTTGGATTTGATCATGAAGAAATTCACGATGTAGTAGAAACTGAGGTTTTGATTAGAATTAATTTTATTTTACTTTTTGGACTAGGTTTTTTGATGTTACTCATATCAGGGATTTTTCGTTGAACACATATTTGTTAAGGCATTGGTAATCAACCATAACTTATTTTCGCGCTGGACTGCTGGTTGTATGGAAGGAGGGGTAAAAGATAAGCCAAAGTGACCATTTTCAGTACTTAGGGTCAATAATACAAAAGGATGGTGAGATAAATGGTGATATGATTAGTAGAATTAAAGCATGTTGAACAAAATGGAGACATATTGAGGTTTTATGCGATAAATAACAATTGAATTAAACAAAAAAAAATTATTGAACAGTTCTTTTCCTCTAGTTTTTTATGGAACGTTTATTTGGCCAACTATTTTATATTGTTCAGAGTGTTGGGTCTTAAACAAGAAACAGGAACAACGAATTAACGTGGCAGAAATAAGGATGTTAAGGTGGATGATAGGATGACTAGAGTGACTAGAAGAGATGGAGTTACTTATCAAAATGTGTGGGAGAAATTAGAGGTCCCTTTCAATGATAATTTATAAGATAAGTAAACATAGACTTAGGTGGTATGAATATATCCAAAGAAGATCTATAGATGTTCCTTTAAGAAGAGGGAGACAAAGTTGCATGGAAGGTAGAAGCCAAAGAGGATGACTGTAGTTAACATGGGATGAAATCATTATAAATGTTCTTAAAAAGCTATATAGAAAAGAATGGAAAAATAGAATTCATTAGGCCTGTTCAAAATCATGAGAGAGAGAGAGAGAGAGAGCAAACATTTACTTGTATATTCCACCCAAACCCTAATAAGCCTATGTAGGCTTATATAAAGGATACAAGACTGACTTAATAACACAAGGGCCCTACCAACTATATGTAATTACATAATGACCCAATATATATATATATATATATATATATATAAAACATTCTAACACTCCCCCTCAAGCTGGAGAATATATATCAAATAATCCCAGCTTGGAACAGATAGTTCTTAACCGGTTATAACCCAATGTTTTGGTAAACATATTAGCTAATTGATCTTCAGACTTCACGAATGGAGTAGAGTATTTTTTCTCGAATGAAGTGATAATCAACTTCAATATGTTTGGTCCTCTCATGAAACACAGGATTTGATGCAATGTGAACTGCTACTTAATTATCACAGAACAATGGAGTAGAAGCTTCAACTGTCGAACCAAGTTCTTTTAGAAAATGTTATATCCATGTCAACTCACTAGTGGTATGGGCCATTTCCCTATACTCAGCTTCAGCACTAGATCGAGCTACCACCGTTTGCTTTTTAGTTCGCCATGTAATAAGATTTCCTCCTACAAATGTGCAGTAGCCTGCAGTAGATCTCCTATCTGAAGGAGAACCAACCCAGTCAGCATCTGTAAAACCTTCCACCGTAAGATGACCATTTGATTTATATAGTAACCCAAAACCTGGAGCTTGCTTGAGATATCGGATAATCCGAAGAACAACAATCCAATGTGGCATTCTAGGGGCTCCCATGAACTAACTTACAACACTAATTGCATATGAAATATTAGGTCGAGTGATAGTGTGATAAATTAATTTCCTATCAAGGCGACGAAATCTGCCCGGGTCATTAAATAGATCACCCTCATCAGACACAAGTTTTGTATTTGAATCCATAGGAGCATCAACCGGACGACCACCCAACATACCTGTTTCTTCTAATAAGTCCAACACATATTTTCGTTGGGATAAAATTATATCCTTTTTGGATCTAGCAACTTCAATACCAAAGAAATACCTAAGTTTACCAAAGTCTTTAGTGTGGAATCGATATTGCAGAAACAACTTCAACTTAGCAATGCCTTCAGAATCATCACCTGTGATCACAACATCATCTACATACACCATAAGAAATATGAAGCCAGCTTTAATGCGCTGGTGAAATACCGAATGGTCGGTCTGACATCTGTTAAGACCAAATTTTAATGTCGCCTCAGAGAATTTTCCAAACCAAGCCCGTGGAAATTGTTTCAATCTGTAAAGGGCCTTTTTAAGGCGACAAATAGTGTGAAGATACTCCCCCTAAGCAACAAACCCAGGTGGTTGCTCCATATAAACCTCTTCTGCTAAGTCACCATGCAAAAAGGCATTTTTAACGTCTAACTAAAACAGAGGCCAATGTCTATTAGCAGCAAGAGAAATCAAACACGAATAGAAGAAATCTCAGCAATGGGGGCAAACGTCTCATCATAGTCAATACCATAAGTCTGGGTATAACCTTTGGCAACAAAACGTGCTTTTAAACGCTCAACGGACCCATCTGGAAGATACTTCACAGTATATACCCAGCGACAACCAATAGGTTTGGCACCTGGTGGTAATGGAACAAGATTCCACGTGCCATTCTGATGCAAAGCATCCATTTCATCTTGCATTGCTTTCCTCCAGCCCGAATCAGACAAAGCATCCTGCACAGTCTTAGGAACAAATGTAGTAGACAACTAAGAGGAAAAACATGAGAAGGATGGCGATAAGGAAGTATAAGAGACATAATGAGCAATGGGATGATTAGTGACACACGAGTGAGTACCTTTACGAAGTGCAATAGGTAAGGAATCAAACATAGTGGACTGTGTTGGATCCAAAGACTCTGAAGACGATGGAGGAGGCACGACAGCAGATGGCTTTGGTTTTCGAGTGTACACTTGTAACGGGGCAGGCGAAGGAGATCTAGGTTGAAGAGAAAGTGAGGGAAGAGGAACCGCAGGAAGAGGTGACTCAGGAGTGATATCAAGAAGTAAATCAGTATCTGAAAAATATGGGATGGGCTCACAGAAGGTTACATCCGCGCTAATAAAGTACCATTGAGAAACAGGACTATAGCAGCGATAACCTTTATGAGAACGAGAGTATCCAAGAAATGCACACTTCGTGGCACGTGGGTCTAGTTTATCAAAACCAGGACCAAGATTGTGGACAAAACATACACATCCAAAAACTTTAGGAGTAAGAGAAAACAAGGGAGAATCAGGAAATAAAATAGAATTTGGAGATTTGCCATCTAATACAGATGACGGCATACGGTTAATAAGATGACAGGCAGTAAGAAGAACATCACCCCAAAACCGTTTAGGCATACGCATATGAAACAAAAGAGCATGGGTTACTTCTAAGAGGTGTCGATTCTTACTTTCTGCGATTTGTTGAGGAGTATAAACACATGAATTTTGATGAATAATTCCTTTATCACTAAGATATGTATCAAAGGGGGTTGAAGAATATTCCTTAGCATTATTAGAATGTACAATACAAATTGGGTATCCAAACTGAGTTTTGATTTCTATTCGAAATTTTTGAAAAATTAAGAATAACTTAGAACAATCTTTCATCAGAAACAACCAAGTCAGGCGAGAATAATCATCCACAACTGTCATTAAATAATGAAATTAATTAATTGAAGAATGCTTTATTGGACCCCATACATTTTAATGAACCAAATGAAAAGGACTAGAGACACGATTATTAACCCTAGACTTAAAAGACACGCGATGGTGCTTACTAAGTTGACAAACTTCACATGACAAGAATTTCAAATGACTAAGACTAGGAACTTGACGTTGCAAAACTTGAAGTGACGGGTGACCAAGACGACAGTGCCACTGGAATGGAGATAGAGAAGATTGAAGAGCCACAGGATAAGGTTCCAAATCAAAGTAATATAAGCCACCAGCTTCATGTCCCGTACCAATCTTCTTCTTCGTCTTGAGATCCTGAAACACACAAGAAGTAGGATAAAATGTAACAGAGCACTGGAGAGATTTAGTAAGCTTACTGGTAGACATTAAATTAAGGGGAAACTGAGGAACATATAAAACGGACGAGAGAGACAAGGAATCACTAAGTTGAGTTGTCCCCAAACCTGAAACCTTAGTGGATGAACAATTAGCAAGAGTACCACTTTGAGAAGGAGGTACAGAATTAAAATCAGATAGAAGAGAAGAACATCTAGTCATATGATCAGATGCTCCAGTGTCAATGATCCAAGGACCGCGAGTGGAAGACAATAGACATGTGTGTGCATTACTTGACTAGGCAAAGGTAGCCGTGGAAGATGAATTAGATGCTTGCTTATAAGACAAAAACTGAGTATTCTCATCACGTGGAACAGGGACCATATTTGATTCAGTTACGTTGTGAGATCCAGAAGCAACACCATTCGGAGAGGAGGAAACTTGATTTGCATAACTAGATGGTTTGCCATGAAGGTCCCAACAAAAATTCATAGTATGATTAAAAAGGCCACAATGAGTACATTTTCGTGATTCCCTGCCACGGTCACTTCCTCCCCGTGAATCACGACCACCACGTGTGGAGCATCCCCCACGACCTTCACGGTAAGCATTATGTTCACCCTTTGAAACTACCAATGCTGAACGTTCACCACTCTGCCCAGTATTCAAATTTGAGGTGTCACTTGCAAGTGTAGCGCACTAAAGTCGAGAAAACACATCAGCAAGAGATGGAAGTGTGAGACTGCCCATAATCTGTGTACGAAAAGACTCATATGCTGATGACAAACCAGTAAGAAAACGGACAACATTAAAGTCCTCATGTTGTTATTGCATAGTTCGAACGTCAGCAGTAATGGGTTAATACATATTCAGCTCCTCACAGACTCCCATAACTTTGGAATAATACTCTTCTATACTGTGATTACCTTGTTCAAGATTGAAGTACTGCTTACAGGGCTCATAAACACTAGTGATATTACCTGTCGCAGAATACAATTGCTGCAATCTGTCCCATATCTCCTTGGCAGTATCCAAATAAAGTAAAGTTGAACTGATTTGGGGGTCAATACTGTTTAACATCACAGAGATGATCTGAGTATCTTCCTTTTCCCATGCATCAAAAGAAGCATCAGTTTCCTTGAGTTTATCTTTAGTTAGATGAGTATCAAGACCTCTACCTTTGAGAAAAATTGTAATAGATTTAGCCCACAGTATGTAATTCTTCCCATTGAGTTTAACTAAAGTCATGGGAGAATGAACATTGGATGTGGGAGAAAGCAAATCTGAACTGGATGTTATGTTGAACCCAGCAAAACAAAGAAGAAAAAGAATGCAGAATCTGTATTCTGGGCGAACCTGGAAAACGGGCTGGATCTGGGCGAACGGGCCGGATCTGAGCTATCCTAGGTTTAGTAAACCAGGGTTGGAATAGCTATCCCAGATTTAGTAAACCAGGGTTGGAATAGCATAACCGTATAGCCAAACACGGGTCTTCTTCTTCACACCTTCACAAATGCCGGTGAACAATGCAGCGGAGACGATGGTGACCCAATCACAAGCAATGGCCGAATCAATAGGCAGCAACCTCTGCAACTTCTGGCCAAAAAACGCGAATTGATAAACCTCACCTCTATAAATCAAGACGGTAGATGTCGGCGAGCTCGCTGACAACCAAAGAGGAGTTGCTGGTGGCGACGAACGAGGTAGAGACGATGACGAACAAGTTTTAGATCTGAAGACGACGAACGAGGCTTCAGATCTAATGACGGTGAACGAGGAGCTGTCGGCGACAACGAACGAGGCAGAGACACCAACACCACAATTGCGATTCCGATCTTATACAAGAACAACACAATTACAGACTCTCACACCCATGAATTCGTGTAGCTTTGATACCATGTTCAAAATCATGAGATAGAGAGAGAGAGAGGGAGAGAGCAGACATTTACTTGTATATTCCACCCAAACCCTAATAAGCCTATGTAGGCTTATATAAAGGATACAAGACTTAATAACACAGGGCCCTACCAAATTTATGTAATTACATAATGACCCAACATATATATATATATATATATATATATAAAACATTCTAACAAGGCCGACCCCCCATTCATATGGGATTGAGGCAAAGATGATGATGACAACCTAAAATAAGTTATTTACAAATGTATATTGTTAATGTTAAAACATATTATTGCCAGAATAAGATTCCAAAATTTTATAAACTTTTGTGTGAAGGGATACCAAAAGAATGATTTTAGAATGTATTATACTTTAGCATGTTATATATAATATAATAACATAAATTGGGAGCATTACTTGTCAAAATAAAAAATAAAAATAAATTGGGAGCATAGATTATTAATAGATTACAACTAAGTGAGATGTACTGTTGTGCCCATGGGTGCAGAAATGGGTGATGGTTTTAATTCCTCTAGATAGATCAATTTTTTGAAAGGTTTACTCAGCAACAGTATCTTGTTAATATCTCTAACAGTATCCTACGTTAAGAGACTGAATTGCTAAATTGTTTTGTCCAGGTGAATCCTCACACGCATCAGCTGAAACTTTGTGATTTTGGAAGTGCAAAAGTTCTGGTAAACTTTTTGTGCAGTATTGGCTATTGATGGTTGTATCTTGTTTCTTCACTTGAATTTAGTTTTCCATTTTGTCAGGTGAAAGGAGAACCCAATGTTTCCTACATCTGTTCAAGATATTATCGTGCCCCAGAACTCATATTTGGTGCCACTGAATATACAACTGCTATAGATATATGGTCTACAGGTTGTGTTATGGCCGAATTACTTCTTGGGCAGGTAGTTTAATTGTTTGATATGCATCTGTCAACTATCCTTGTTTCTAAAAATTTCAAATTATCCTTTTATAATTATTTATATATCTGAAACAACTTCTTATACAGCCTTTGTTTCCTGGAGAGAGTGGAGTTGATCAATTGGTTGAGATTATCAAGGTGAAATTATTTATCAATTGTTTCATATGTTTGTGAATTATCTGTACTAAGAAATTTTCTTCTTTGAGGCATTGGTTTGAACATTGAGTTAGTTATCATTTCTAGAACAGAAAGTAGTTGAGAGATGATGTCTATAGAAATTTTAAGCCAAAGCATTCAAATATTAAATCTTGGTACCATGTTAATATGTTATACACTTGCACATCATATAGAATTTTATTCACTCTGATGAAAACAGAAAACTGGAAGAAAAGAGAAAAAGAGGGAAAACAATGCGATGAAAACAGAAAACTGGAAGAAAAGAGAAAAAGAGGGAAAACAATGCTTTTAGCACTGTAAATACAGAAAAACAAAAAATGATTAGTGTTTAACCATGCAAAAGATGTACTGTTTAAGCATACAAAATTGCCAACAAATAATCACCAAATCTATTAAAAATTTGAAAACAGTGATGTATTCGAGCTATTCTCTTATGGAAACTTAAAATAATGATATTGTTTACAGGTTTTGGGTACACCTACAAGGGAGGAGATAAAATGCATGAACCCAAACTATACTGAATTTAAGTTCCCACAGATAAAGCCTCATCCATGGCACAAGGTATGCCCAATTACAGTATATTTTTGCCATTCTTAACTCATATGTTATGCTTATAACAGAATTTCTTTAATATGCATGAATCCAAACCATACTGAATTTAAGTTCCCACGAAAAAAGCCTCATCTGTGTATGTCCAATTACAATATCTTTTTGCCATTCTTTACTCGTATGTTCCATTCTTTACTCGTATGTTTCTTTATAACAGATTTTCTATAGGGAGTTGAAAAAGCTTGAGTAAGTTCTATTATAGTTTGTAACATTCCCTAATGAAGTCTAGCATCTAAGATTTGTTTGCTTAGTATTTACGCTCGTGTTGTTATGGTCCATGTGATGGCACATATGCTGTCAACTTGTATAGAGCCAACCAAGTGATTGGCAAAGTGAGCTGTCGTGGAGTTTGAAGAGGCTTTGAAGTCTAATGCTTAGGTAGCATGGAATATCGTTAGCTCAAACCACTTTGTAACTTTGGTGCCAAAACTGATTTGGAATTCGAAATCACTTAACGTAACATGTTTGCTGCAAAACAAGGTTCATGTTATATCAAATCTCTTACATAGCAGGCATAGGCCTGGAGAAGCAGGAAGAGTTATTTGAATCAAGTTAAAGGCTTTGTATGGGTGAGAGACAAGGCCAAGAAGAACCTGGACAGGGGCTACTGAAATGACTTGATGACCTACATATAGTGGAGGATATGGTTCAGAGTTTAACTCTTGATGGAGTTGAAGGTGGGAAAATCGTGTAGCAGACTCCGACTAGTTACAATTTGACGATTTATTTAGTTGCCTTGGGTTGTTATGTTTGGAGTCTTTCTGTGGATATGTCGTCCCCCTCACCTGGTTCCCAGTTGTTGCCCCATGGAATGTTGGGCAATTAGGAAACAACATATGCATAAAGTGTGGTAGTAATGCGAATGTTGAGATGGATGTGCGGTGAAATTAGAAAAGATAAAATTAAAAATGATCACATTCGTGAGATGATTGGAGTAGCATCAATTGGAGATAGAATGAGAGAAAATCGGTTTAGATGGCTCGGAAATGTGCACAAAAAGGCCTCAAGTGCACCAGCTAGGAAGACGGATATTGTCCGCATTAAGGGTATTACTAGGGGAAGAGGAAGACCAAAGTTGCAGGTAGAGTAAGGAAAGATGTGCCAACGTATGGTTTGACTGAGGCCATGACCTTAGAAAGGAATAGAAAATAGGATCCATGTAACCGACCCCAGGTACTCGGAAAAAAGGATTTGGCAGTGGTTGTAGTTGTAATGATTTTTATTGGTATAAAAATTGTACCGTGTGGAGAAATCAAACATGTAAGTGGTGAGGCAGAATTGTTTTTTAAAAGTGGGGTACTTTTTCTACTGACTAGTGCATCGGTTTATTGTCCAGTTTTGAGTGAAGTGGTTTACTTGGCACACAAGACGATTAAAAATTGTTAAAAAAGAATTGCCTAATCCTTTTTTGTCATGTCTACTGTTCCTTGACGACACGAAATTTACTTGTGTAGTATTCACTGGTAGATTTGTTGCATATATAAGGTCTTTATTACGTGATATAACAGTAAAATGATCCATGTGTGGCTGAGTAAATTTTCAGATATAAGGTCTTGACTCTGTTGGATATTCTGTGCTGCAATGTTGCAAGTGTTTTCTTGATCGGCTTTTTAAGTTTCACAACCTTTAGGCCCTTTGGGGATGCGGGGTAATTCAATGGGCAGACTTCATAAATGTTGGTTGTCTAAAGCACATTTGTCACATATTGATGTAAACAAAAAGGGACATCAGTGAAATTGGACTCAGGAACCTCATATTTAGTTCTTTAAGGAAAGGATTCGATATTGTATTCTCTGTTTGCATGTTCATTCCTAACTTTTTAAATGTGCATTAGTTGGATCAAGTTGATCAACTATGGTCCATGCATGCTTCATTCCACTGCTTTGACATGTAAAGCATTTTTTTCTCTTTCTCACTACTATCAACGGGGGATCAACATACGGGCCAAGGCCCTCTACACTATTGAAGTTCGTACCTTTTAAATGGCCTCAGTTTATCTTAGTTTTCTTTCCGCCCTTTAGCATCCATTTGAAATTCTGGCTCCACTCTGACTGCCATTGTGCTTATATGTGGATGTATAACTTGTTTTAAACTTGTATTGTTGAGCATTTGCCTTCAGATGGTATGTCCCTTTGCATGTGGGATTCACTGTGATCTTATTCTGATCTTCCAGGTCTTCCAGAAACGTTTACCTCCAGAAGCAGTGGACCTGGTCTGTAGGTTTTTCCAGTATTCCCCCAATTTGCGATGCACTGCTGTAAGTTAAACTTTCATACTTCATTAGAAAACCTGGTTGAAGAGGTATTGGTTTCTTATGTGATTGTACTGCAGTTGGAAGCATGCATTCACCCTTTCTTTGATGAATTGAGGGACCCAAATACTCGACTTCCAAATGGCCGCCCTCTTCCTCCATTGTTTAATTTCAAGCCTCAAGGTAACTTTTGCGTAATGCGTTATACAAAATTTATTTTAGTCTATTATGTCAATTTTTTTTATATATATTCAATTTTTATTTGCAATTATGCAAGATTCTGTTTATAATATATAAAGTAGAATCTCAAGTTCTAATGAAATTGTCTTGAGAAAGGAAGGTTGCTGTCTCCCTTAACTGTTAATAACCTGGTCTTTGTTGACTGGGCTTTGACTAGTTCTCTTAAATAGTTGTCCACCATTGGAATTCCCTGGTAGTGCTGCCAACATGCATGGAAAATATATTCCTTCCAGAGGCATCATCGTCTGAAAAGGAAGAATATGCTATCCCTGCTTAAGCCTGAAAAGTCACTCCTAAAAGGTCCGGTTGCTATTTTATGTCCATAGGCGTTTTATTACAAGCCAGCGTGTTGGTGAAACTAGTTTTGAGACCATGACAATCTCCCAGTTGTTTCTTAAAATGAAATCTCCCAGTAATGAAAATCACCATTGCTTGCTTCTTCGAGGTCTCGACGTCAATTTTCAACCTAGTAGTGCAATGGTCTTTCAATTGATAATATTGCTTAAATCTCACATTTGAAGAGGTCAAGTGGCAGTCTCATGCCCATAAAAGAATTTCTCTTAAAAGTCTTAAACGAGGATATACTCATATGGAGCATGACCAGCAAATTCTCTAGGATAAGACGCTTTGTTGTCTTTTATATAGGTATTTTTACTTGTTTCCTTTTTTTTGGGTCCTTGGTTTGTGCTAGTGAATTTTAGCATGGTATCGGATCCATTCATGGATATATGAATCTTTTTCAAAATTATTAGTAAAGATTATCATCATAGATTCATATAGCTGATGTAAATAGTCGGGATAAAGTTCTATTTAGAATGTAAATAGTCTGGACAATGTCCATCAGACAGATGCACTGGCAGAGAGATGGGTTTGTTTTGAGAAAACATTATGTTACATGGTTACACCTTGATCCATTATCAGTTCTTCATTAAAACAGCTGTGTCAACATTGTTCCAAAATTTAAGTATGTTCAGCACTTGATATTGTTTTCATTCAAAACTTTTTTTATTCTAACTTGGTTTCTAATGCCTATAAGAACTTGTATTCTTTTTGACAGAGCTTTTAGGCATCTCGACTGAAACTGTCCATCGGCTGATTCCGGATCATGCTCGAAAGCACAATTTGTTCATGGCTCTGAACGACTAGCAACTGTTCGGTATTTCTCGTCTTCTACATGCCTTGCAGCAATAGTCTGTCGGCCTTGTGTCATATGTAAAGTGTAAAATCAGTTGCTCCACGTATTTATCTTTCGAAGTAAAATTTGCAAATGGAGTAACCAGGATCACCACAAGAAGTGAGGCTCTGAAATTGAGTGTTAATGAATGTTTTCTTTTTTCTTTTTCTTTTTCCACACTACAGGATGAGAATGTATTTATTTTCACCTTAGATAATGTATTCTGTTTCAGCAAATCTTTCTCCATTACCCTGTGTAGGTGGGACCGGCTTTAAACTATTATTATGTTGGTTATTAAGAAAAAAAGTTTAAACAGTACAGAAATGTTGAGCCGGATAATCAAAGGGTATAATAATAAACTCACTTTTTCATACTTTAGAAAGGGGGTACGAGGGCAAAATTGGTTGAGGTTTAATATGAGAGCAATAAATTGAAATCTTAGACTGTGACAACATTTAGCCCTAATAATAATAATAATACTAATAGTAAAATAATAAAAATAAATTGCTTAATTGCAAGATATGTGAATCACTTTTAGAATCCCGTTCTTGCGAATTAGTCATAAGAATAAAAATAATAACAATAATAATAATAATAATAATAAATTGCTTGATAAGTTGGTTGATCGGGAGGGTACATATTGTAATGTTTTGTATAGATGAGAGGTTGATTTGCAACCCCAAAGAGTTCATGGGGTTATTCCACTTTTGGTGATAGTGTTGGATTTTTTTTTACACTTTTGCCTTTATTTATTTATTTATTTCGATGAACACATAATATATGTACAACGTGTGCAAATAAGACTGTCTAATCACTAGCATCCACTGCAACATTGCTTTTAAAAACATGCATAATATATATAACTCCTCTCTGCTTGCAAATAAATAAAAACATGCCATTTTCATTCTCTCCTGTAACATGATCCAATTTGAAAGTTAATCTATAACTAAATAACGTTTTCAGTTTTATATTTTGTTTTCACTCTTAGGAATCATATTTACTCAATAGTTAAAATAATATACATGCCTTCATATATTGTATTATGGATGAAGTCCGCCATTATAGAATACTGTATATATTTATACAAATATAGTAATTGTTGAGGAAGAGAGAGAACACTCATGTTTTACATTTTATCTCAAGACTTAACTGATACTCCTCTTTGTGAGAGAGAACACTCATATTTTAAAAACAAACAAACATTCGCAAGGTCTTTATAATGCCGGGAGAGGTAGAATCGACCCTTCCGCGCCATTTTGACATATCTCATGCTCCTTTTCTATTGTCGCTGAATTCCCATACACATACAGACTTCAACAGGCTTCACCTTTTTGACTAGTAGACATACTTATAAAATATATATATACAAAACTACTTGATTGGTTGCACTTCTTTTATTTATTTATTTTTTTTTTCTTGAACCCTTGTAGCATAATATTATATACTATTATATATATAATATCTCATGGACCCAACACATTTATCAATTACTGTTCTGCATCATCATCCGACTGTTATGTAATCCGGGAAAATTATATAATAATGGCGGAGGTCGTATCGACCTTGGGAAACCTGGTATGGTGATAAATCAGGAGAAGAAGTATAGTTATTAAGCTGGGTATCCTTCTCCTCTTCTTCATACACAATGTCCACTCCTATCTCCTTTACTTCATATCCGACACCCATAGCTGAAACCACCACTTCATCACCAACTTCCAACTGATTCCCAATCTTCCCAAGGCTTGACCATTTCATATTTTCCCCTTCTTCTGGAATCCCTACACACGCTGGGAAATAGACCCACTGCACATCCTTCGTCTTATTGAAGATTTCAATAGCAAATGGACTGGTAATATAGGTATTCATGGTGGAAGAGTAATCATCCGCATAAACAACGCATACATTCAAGCCTCGGATCTTGAGATTAGGAAGTGAAGGAACATTGAAACATATGGAGGACTTTCTACTCTTTTTGCTGAACCAACATGGAACCTCATTTCCAGGATGAAATATGCTCACTATTCCACATTCATACACTGCCTGATCCATGCAAATCATCATAACTTCAATTACAATAGGAGAGAGCAAGAGACATACATATATATATATATATATATATAGAGTGAGAGAGAGAGAGAGAGAGCACCTGGATGGGACCAATATTGTGCGTATCTGTCAGGTAATTGTAAAATTTCATGTCAACCTTTCCTATGGATTCCAACTCAACCAATCCCAAATTCTTGATCATTTCTGCATCAATGTTTTGAATGGGTTCTAACCTGAACCAGTTCTGAGCCTCTACTAGTTTGCCACATTGCCACGCATACACGTACGGTCGTCTCTTTAGTTTTGGTAGATTGATCATTATTTCCAGTGACGTACAATGGCCTAACTCCAACCATTCTAAGCTCATTGGTAGCTCTGGAAGCAATTGGAGTTTTTCACACCCTACTCATTCAAGTGAGTTGCGCATGGCAAGTCCCCTGATGCTCTCTGGAAGGCTACTGATTGGATTTCCCCCTAGATTCAATTCCTTCAACAGGGACAGGCTCCCAAGATCCCTCGGAATGGCATCATTTGACAAATTGCAGTTTGCAAGATTCAAGCTTACAAATGAGCGTGGCAAGCAAAGCAGTGAACGACTAATCGATTCTGAAGATTTTCTTGGCCTAGGAACCCAAGAGAACCAGCGTGAATGCCATGATTCTATGTCACTGCTGGGTAGTTGTTTTATTGTAACACCATATGCGTCAAGAACCTTTAAAGATTCCATCTCGCATAGCTCTCTCGGCAACTTGTCAAGATTTGAGCAACCAGAGAGGATGAGTTTCTCAAGAGATTTTAGCTGATCAATTTTAGGAAGATTCCTAAGATTCTTGCAGCCTTTTTAGATTTAACAGAACAAGTCTCTCTAACTTCCCAATGGATTCGTGAACCTCGATCAAATTTATGCAATCTTTAAGAAGCAATCTCTCAAGATTTGGGACTTCTGAGAAATTAGACGTATTTGTAAGGCCATGGGAATGACTAAGGTCGAGGATTCTCAATGATGGGAGCACCTGTTGTCAAAAAGTAGGAAATTGATTAAAATGAATATTTACATTAATCCTTTAGAAAAGGAAAAAGATGAATAAGTTTGAATTATACCTTGATTCCCTTCCAAACTTGTTTCAAACAGCTATTTCGCATATCTAGAGCGACTAGGCTCTCTAAAATGAACTCATTGGGTATCGATTTTAAAGGAAACCCTCGCCAACGCAACCATCTCAACTTCCTTGGAAATTCTTCGTAATCTCCGGTTACAAATGCATTGTTGAGATGGAGTATTCTTAATTTGTGCATCCTTGAAAATGCATCAGCTTTTAAGTATACTTCCTTTGATGTGGACAATGATTTTGTCGTGGCAAAGTTCGTGGGGCACCCAAGAGAAGACACCTAAACGACGGCGCTTTGATGAATTGCTTACACAAGGAAATGTTAATTTGTCAAGAAAATCTTCAGAATGACGTCTTTTTGAATAATCTAAACCAAAGAAATTCTGAGCAGGCCAGTCTTGCCTGGACACGTGCAAATTTAGGCTGAGGCCTTCAATCTTTTCCGTGCCCTGATAAGAGAGGTTGATAATTAACAGACTAGTAAAAAAAATTTAAAAAAATAAAAATAAAAAAGACATGAGGGGCATGTTTCTTACGGTTTTTTCTCTTAATACATTTAAGGCATCCTTATGGTGCCACACTCTGCTACGCTCCCCAAGTTCCTTAGGTGATTCTTTGCGTACAATCTCTCTTCCCATATCTCGAATCAACTGAGGCATTGTCAACTTGTTTTGTTTGTCAATTGTTAAGAGACATCTATCGATGAGATTTTGAATCCCAACCTCTATGCAAAAATCACATTCCTCTAATATTGTAATTATGAAATCTTTGTCCATTCTAACAAAGAAACAAGAAATGTCAAGAAATAAATTTTTATCATGGTCATCTTGTAAAGAATCAAAGCTTATTTTGAGCTTTTTTAGGATCTGGCAGTCAGGAATTGCTTCCAGTTTCTTTATTGCACTTTCCCACACATCTACACTTCTCCCACATAGAGAAGAACCCAAAATTTGAAGAGCTAAAGGATGCCCACTGCAGTACTCTACAACCTTTTTTGTGTGCTCCATATATCCTTCAATGGGGTGGCCTTGTCCAAAGGCATGCCAGCTAAAGAGTTGAAATGATTCATCATGAGTTAAACCTTCAACTCTATACCGCTTGTGCATTTCATGTGCCTTCAACAATTGTTCATTTAACAATTGTTCATTTGTAGTTGTTATGATAATTTTACTTCCTCGTTGAAACCCACTCCTCATTGCGAGTACTGCATTTAATTGGTCTCGGTTTTCCACATCATCAAGAACAAGTAAAATTCTTTTGCAGCAAATAGCTTCTCTTATCTTTATGATTCCTTCATCAACAGTGCTAATTTTTGTTTCTTTCCGCTTTAAGATATCTGAAAGAAGTTGTCTTTGTAAGCGGAGAAGACCACAGGGTTCTTTTGATGTTTCTCTTACATTTGCAAGAAAATTGCTACCTTCAAATCTGTCAAAAGTCAAGTTATACACAGTTTTTGCAATGGTTGTCTTCCTTATTCCATGCATCCCAAAGATTGCCACTATCCCGACTTCGTTTGATCCATCTTGCAACCACAAATTAATGTTTTTTATACGAATATCTAATCCAACTAGATATGAACAAACACTCAATACTTTGTGATTCAATTTGTTTTCAATATCTTTAACAATTTCTTAAATAAAATTTGACTCATACCTACAAATTGCAAACTTCTTGTCAGCTTAAACGAAGTAAGGAATTAATGAAAATGCAAACAAGAGATAATAATGATTTATTGGATAAAAATTGACTCATACCAATATATAGCAATGGGAATAGGAAGGGGAACCAAAAAAATGAAAACAAACGATGTTATACTTGAAATGAATCAAGAAGTTAAATGAAAATGAAATATATATATACACACACACACACACAATAAATTTCATGTTTAGTTTAGCCATTACCACTCAAATATATTCATGCAGCATGTTAACTATTGTAAAATCTTGCATTAATTGAATTACATAATCAATGATTGTTAAAGATATTTAACTGAAAGTTAAAAAATTTATTTGTAGCAAAATGCAAGAATATCTACAAAATTTCAAATCTAGCTTGAGAAAGCAATTTCAAGATAAGGGTTTCTTATTGTTCACAATCCGCAATAGCATTTCCATTTTAAAAGTTTAATCTTCTTATTTGTAGTTACTAATTATTGACTTTATTTGTCCACTTGCTTTCCTGTCATTTAAAACATTTAGAATTTAATTTATCGAAGACTTTAAATTCATAAAAAATGTGAGTCTTACCATTTTGAATGCATTTTGCATTAGTCTCCTTCAAAAGTTAATTAGATATCGGTCTTATTCTTTTAACCACACCATAACTCTAATGAGTACTGACTATTGATAGAAGAGAGTTAACCAATTAATTGATTAATAGAATCTAAAGCTATTAAGATTTTGTGGCTCAGGACCAAGCCTATTGGGCTTAAACTACTCTGTGGACCATACGTATATAGTAATATATTGAACTATATATAATATTACTACCAAGTATCATTTATTGGGCTTTAACTTCAATCCATTAAAATTTATCACACAGAGGCCCAGGCCATAGGTTGAAGTAAAATCAGGTTATTGGGCTTTAACTTCAATCCATGCCCCGCCGGGGTTGTAGTCGAACTCATTTATAGACCTAATGGGGCTACAACCTATCGCAAATTGAGTTAATTCGAACCAATAACATCTGGACTAAGTTAATTCAGACCAATAATAGTCCTTTATTGAGAGCAATTCAGGACACACAAATATATAAACAGACAATTGTGTTTAATTATTTATGATTACCTAGAAAAATATATTTGTAGATTATTAATTACGGAGCCAAATTCGGCAGCGTCTAGAACAAGATCAATTCGGCTTTAACCCAATCCAGACCAATACGAACACCTAAGTTCCAGCCTATTAATTTATTGGGTCGTTTTGGGTTCTGGACGGGCCTTTTAAATAGCTAAGCAAGCTTGTTAAAAAAGATAATCACTCCTAATCAATTTTTTAAAAAATGAATCAACATAAAAATGCATAATAAATTGCACACAAATTATGTTTAGGAAATTATATAGATATGTAGCCTGAAGCCCTCATTGCTTTATACCGTATTGTTAACATATGATGTGCAATTCCCCTTGTATTCTTAGCAATTTCTGTTTTCCAGGCAATATAGAAAAGTTTCTAATCGTATAAGGATTTTCTATAATCAATTTTCCAACGTTAAAACTTTTAAAATGACTGAATTTAATTTTTTAATGGAAGGTATTTTTGTAAAATATCTGTCAACACTTATAAATAAGATAAGAGGGATGGATAATAATGTAAGCAAATAAAGACATGCCGCTAATGAATTGAGTAGTAATGTATATTCAATTTTATGAACACTTGAATCAAATGATGTCAAAGTAAATGAATTAGACAAGCTTACCCATCTCCTAAACATGCCCAGCCAAATTTGCAACTTCTGTCAAAGCTTCCTTCCACTTCTTTATCTTGTTCATTCCCTGCTCTTTTCTTTCATCAGACTCGGACATAAAGTTCTCTCCATGTTTTACAAATGCTTTTGCAAAACTTTCATTCTATTTTCTAACATGGGACGGATCCACATGGTAGAACACGGGCACAATCATATGATCAACACTCTTCTTGCGTTCAAGGATCTTTAGAAGTTCATCAAAGCACCATGTTGAAGATGCATAGTCTTTTGAGAAGACAATTATTGAAATTCTCGACTCTTCAATTGCCTTTATCAGTTTTTTGGAGATATCATCTCCTCTCGCAAGTCCATCATCATCCCTAAATGTGCGTAGTCCTGCATGTAGCAGAGCTGTATAAAGGTGATCGGTAAAGGTCTTTCGGGTGTCTTCACCTCTGAAGCTCAAGAAAATGTGATAAGAACACCGAATTAAAGAGGGTTCTTGGGATCCCATAGCCGCCATTGAACAAAATTAAGGAGATGAATGAACAAAATGCAATCTGTACAAGCATAATAATTAATTTTTTTAAGAATTCAATAAATAAATAAAGGAATAAACTATAGGCCAAACATATTTTTTTTTTTTTTTTCTATATAAAAAAAAAAACCTCTTACAATATTTTAGATAGCCCCTAGTGTGACAAATACCCCCTAAATAAATCCTGATTTCCAAGGTTTTGTTCTTTGCACATTTTGCTTTTCTTCTAATCTGGAGAGGTATAGAGATTTATGGGTTTGGTGTGTTCTATTTTAATTCTGCTGTATCACACTGTGACCCATGATCTCTTCCTCTCTATTCAATGGGTTCGTTTGTGAAGATTGGGGGAAAAGTTCTGTATACATATAATATACTTATATTATAATGGACTTTTGATTTGATCAATAGAGGCACATGAGGTGGTGGGTTCGATCTTTACATATTGATCAAAATTTGAAGGGCACATGAGGTGGTGGGTTCGATCTTCTTTTGGGATATAAACATTGTGACATTTATGCATTATATGAATCTCACCTGGATGCATGCTCTTACACAACAAATTGAAACAAAAATAAATAGATGTGTAATTAACTTGTAATAATATTACACATCTTCAATCTTCCCACTAATTAAACAATCAATCCTATGTGTATAAGTGGGTATATATATTACTGGATAAAATAGATAGGTAAAAGGATATATGATTGTTCAAAGCGTATAACATATGATTGTTCTCCCAGATAAACTGGACAATTGGTTGATTCAAGATTTACTATTACAAATTGAAATAGAAAGAAGACAATACATACATATAAATAAATGTGTAATTATTTATGTAGTGATTAACTTGTAATACTGAGCAATGGTGTTGCAAATGTAAAACTTTTTACCTGTAATTCCGGAAGAAATTAAGATTCCCACCTCCCTTGATGGATTAATCAGTTAAGAGACAGAGAGTGAAAATGCTATGGTGATTGAAGAAAAGAGGAGAGAAGCCAAATCAAGACAAGTGTGAGAGGGGCAGAGCCTAGTGAGGCGATATAAATGAAGAAAAGGAACGGGGGATCCACAAAGTAAGCCTCCTTGTAATGTTCTTCACACCTTAACAACAAATCTGTGGACATGACCAAGCCACGTCATTAACAATTCAAATTGGTCTGACGTCATTCAAGGATTAACTCCAAAGGAATGAACAAAACGACAAACACATGGTCGATACAAGAACCCAACTGGGACCTACACTCGTAATATCACATACAAGATAATAATAATAAAAAAATAATAAATAAGGATAATAATATATATATTTTTAAAATAAATTTGCATCTAATTTCTTGATTTTATTACTTTCTTAATTTTGTAATCACAAATTATATATACGCGTAATATCACATATGCCACCATCCTTTCGAATACCTCTAGGGTTCAGTTAGAAGGGATTTCTGCTCCCACTCCGAAAAAAGCACCGGCAAATAGGGACCTTGTGAGAATGGTGAATCCTCTGCTCACACTTCGCCTCGGCAGCCACTCGCATTGTAGATAAGGACTGAGCAGGGAAGATGAAAGAAGTCTGTGTATATTTTTTGTTGAATTACATCAGTAAGAATGAATTACCTAATAATGAGTAGCCAAGTATTATTCTTATCAGAACACTGTGTATCTATAACAATTACGCGAAAACTCTACTAGTGACTTAGTAAATAGGAAGTGAAGTCATCTTCTCTGCTAGAAGATAGCTAGCAATTTTGCATCCATGGTGCCTCACAAAAGTCCTTTCAGACAAACTGTAGACACTAAAATTTTAGTGGGCTTTGGTTTTGACAAATGGATCCATTAAATATAAGCCTAATGTTTAATTAAGTTATTTAATTGGTCCAAACTTGGTCCAGTTAAATTATTTAATTAGCCCAACCCAGATGGTTAAATAAACAGATAATTATTCCTAATAAAATATATTTAGAATAATTATTTTTAAGGATAATTATCATAATATAACCGGCCCGGCCCAGTTATTATTTTATCCTTATCAGGAAATGACACGTGTCATCATCTTATTAATCAAAGAAACCTATAAATAGAGGTTTGGAGGAAGGAGGAAGGGGTACACAAATTCAGAGTCCAGAAATCCAGAAACTCAGAAATCCAGAAAAATCCAGAGGGCCAGAAATTCCGAGGGCAAACCTGAAGGCGAAGAACACCAAGCATGTCCAAAGTCGCAAATTCTCTCATCTCTGAAGACAAAGAGCAACAAGCACATCCAAAGATGTGCCGTTCTTCTTCAAATTCAACAAAGGACACAAATTCTCAGAATTCAGAAGTCCAAAAATTCAGACACAAATTCAGAATTCAGAAGCCTAGAAATTCAGACACAAATTCAGAGTCCAGAAATTCAGAGACTTAGAAGTCAGAAGTCCAGAAATTTAGACACAACAAAAGTCCAGAAATTCAGACAAAGTCAGAGACACAAATTCAGAATCCAGAAATCCAGAGACTCAGAAATCCAGAAGGTCCAGATTTTGAGAGAATCAGAAATCCAGAGGGCCCTGAAGGCGAAGAACACCAAGCACAACCAAAGTCGTGCCATTCTTCACCAAATTCAACAAATTCTCTCCTCTCTGAAGACGAAGAACAACAAGCATAGGCAAATAGGGATCATGTGAGAAGTGCGAATCCTCTGCTCACACTTTGGCTCGGTAGCCACTCGCATTGCAGATAAGGACTGAGTGGGGAAGATGAAGGTGTTGGAAACGGCATTAGAAAACGCAAACTTTGGAAGGACTTTTAAAAGATTCCGCTAAGAATTTTTTGCGAATCTATTGACGAGCGCGTTCCTCTCTGCGAGGAGATGAACGTGGTATATTTATTTTCTCAAATCCGTTTCCGGGTGAATGAGAAATTGGCTCCAAAGTAAGTGATTTATAAAGCCTAAATGGGTGTGAATAAAGTGGGAAATGCTTGTCCCACATCGAAAAAGTAGCAAAGCAACCTTGAGTATATATATGTCTAGTATGGGATTTGGGTTTGGGCCCAAGGGCACCCAAGTTTTTAAGAGGGGGAGGACCTAGGCTAGCCTGGATCCGAACCAACTACCACACACGCGCGCGCCGCCCGGTCCGGTCCGGGCTTGGGCGGGGAGGGGCTTAATTGTAAAATAGGTCTAACCTTTTTACACAAAGTTGGACTGGGCCTGTGTAGTTATTTTATTTACTGGACTTATTTAAGTGGGCTTGCGGGTGGAGCACGCTGGGCTGGGCTGCCGAAGTTTGCTTGCTGGGCTTAATCTGTTTTGGGTTTAAATTTAAATCAAAAACCATAAAACAGTTTTTGTTTGAACCAAGGGTTGCACCCTTTACAAATTAAAAACCATCAACAGATTTTTAATTTTGATTGGTCAACAATGGTTGCACCCATTCGGACTATGGGTGCACCCATTCAGAATAGGCACCAACAAGCCTATAAATACCCATCATTGGGTTCATTTCAATTCACACCAATTCAGAAATCTTCTTCTCTTCTTCTGAATTTCTTCTTCTAATTCTTCTTTATTCGGTTCAGCCACTGGTTTGGGTTCAACCTAAACTGGTTTGGATTGGGTTCGAACCTTGGTTTCCAAGTTTGGGTTCAATCTTGGTCTCCGAGTTAGGGTTCAATCCTGGTCTCCGAGTCTGAGTTCAACAGAGAGTACTACACCGAGCCGGTTCGCCTATTCCATTGGTTTGAAGTGCTACTACCAAAGGAAGAAAAGTCGTTGTATCCTGGGAGATAGACGCCGAAGAGTCCGTTAGCACCGTAGCGGGACGTATCTGTCTTAAGACTATAGAATTAAATTCTAGCCTCGACTTTATCAGGTTCTTTTATAGTTTTATTTTCTTGATATTAAACTATATAAATATATATATATATAGATTATTATAATAAATATTATATTTACAAATAATATTTAAATAAATTATACTATAGTATATGATACATTATTTTATCAACAATCTTAAGACAGACATCTTTATACTATAGTAATAATTATTTAATTATTATTGTTGTTATAATTATTATAATTTGACTCGTGGTCTGTATATCAATATATAACAGACAAATGGCAAGTACGAGTATTACCATGCCTAATGTTCCCGTTAGTCATGGGGAGAAGCCCGAAAAATTCAATGGGACGGAGTTTAAAAGGTGGCAACAGAAAATGATGTTCTACCTTACAACTCTGAATCTAAGCAAGTATCTGACTGAGACTGCTCCAGTGTTAGATGAGGGTGATACAGACATTACCAAGCTTGGAGCTGTTGATACATGGAAGCATGGAGAATTCCTATGCAAGAACTACATCCTCAATGGATTGGACAACACCTTATATAATGTGTACAGTCTAATAAATACTGCTAAAGAGCTTTGGGAGTCGTTAGACAAAAAGTATAAAACAGAGGATGCTGGCTTGAAGAAATTCGTGGTTGGACGATTTCTAGACTTCAAAATGATAGACTCCAAGACAGTCGTGAGCCAAGTGCAGGAGCTCCAGCTGATCCTACATGAGATACATGCTGAGAAGATGACATTGAGTGAATCCTTTCAAGTAGCTTCAATCATTGAAAAGCTGCCACCTACTTGGAAAGATTTCAAAAATTACTTGAAGCATAAGCGCAAGGAAATGGGGCTCGAAGACTTAATTGTCAGGCTGAGAATTGAAGAAGATAACCGTACATCTGAAAAGAGAGCCGAAAATTCTTCAATGGTGTTAAAGGCAAATGTAGTGGAAGCAGGACAGAAAAATAAGAAGAGGAAGCACTCTGGATAAGGTCTCAGCCAAGGAAACTACAAGAAGTTCACTGGGAAGTGTTTCATATGCGGCAAGCTAGGACACCGAGCTAAAGATTGTCGTAGCCGCAAAACACATCATAACCCCAAGAAGAAGACCACTGAGGTGCACATAGCTGAAGAAGATAAGTTGACAGCTGATGTATCAGAGTTAAATCTTTCAG